TACTACGATACTACTCCACTAACTAAGTAGTAGTAGTAGAGTAGTAGTATATATATATGTAGTAGTAATAATTACTATATATATATATATATATATATATATATATATATATATATATATGGCTAACTCCCATAAAAGCCGATGGTGATATTAAGGAGGGAAAAGTTTTTATACGAAGCTCTAAACAATCAAAGTTAAGCTTATCTCAAAAAGTTTATTAGAAGAGGTTGTTTTGATGCTCAAATATCTTCAAATTGATCATCTCAACATCAAGATGTATGGACATGAGAAAAAATTGGATTTCAAGTTTTTGAATAGTGTATTTTATAATGCATTTTTAGACCGTCAATTTTCAAGATTTTCAAGTTTTCATAGATATGTTGATCAACCCTATTTTTTGAAGCTCTGAACTCTATAAATAAATATAAAAATGTATTTTAAAGCTATCACAAAGATTTTCAGTACTAAAACCACATTTCTCGACATTATTTGAAAGTAGGCTCTAATTTGATTGTTTAGAACCTAGGCTCTATACAAACTGCACCCGCGCACATCAAAATGACTTAAAAAACCCTTATCGAGAATTTGTATCTATCAAAACTACAAGGAAAATTAGTCTTATTCAAAAAATTTACTTTTTGGAGCAAAAACAATTAAGCTTTTGGAGGAAAAAAACAAAAACAAAAAGGACGCTATTTCCTCTCAAGTTTATCTCCCTATTTCCTCTCAAGTTTATCTCCCTATTTCCTCTCATGGGAATCTCTATCCTGTCTCAAATCCTTCCACAAAGATTAGTTATAATCTATTCCCCAAAATCTCCCATTGAACAAGACGTATAAAAAATCCTCCCTCGTCCTACTTAACTTTATCCTTATCCTAGCTCTTTTTTTATCTCTAATTAAAGATAAAATAAATAAGTAAATTTTAATTTTTATTTGTATCATTCTCCCTAGGTTAGGCGAAGCTTGACCTCGAGCTTATAGAACTCAAATATTTTAAATGCCTTCTCGAAAGTTAATGATATAGTCCACTATGTACCTCGATACTTTTCTTCAATTTCTTCATTAAGCCGATTCATTGAATGCTTTGTGCTTATCGCGAATGGAACACAGTGATCTCAGGCTCAATCTTGATTTCTCCTTCAAGCTCACTTGGTTGGATTTCGAATACTGCATCACACATATCTTCTTCTTCATAATTGATTTTCAAAATTTCTTGCACATTGGGGTTATCGACATTGTATTTTATATTGAGATCTACGTCTTCATATTCTTGTCCCTTTTGATTGCAATCTATAAAATAATTCTCGTAGATATTGTTTTACTCCTTTGCTAATACTCTCTTTTAGGTCTTCTTTGAGCCTATCCAATCTTTGATCAAAGCTTTCCATAAATAGATCAAGAATTTTAAGATTCTGATACCAACTGATGCAGGGAGAAAATAAAATTGGAGCAATAAAAAAAACTAGTTGAGAAAATATATTCTCTCTCAAGGTCTGCAAAGGAGTCCACCTCAAAAATGATCTTTTCACAAGACCAAATTTACTCAATTTCAATCTTGGATCATTTACAATAAACGACCTCTTCCCATTAAATACATTTCAAATAAATTAAATAAATAACTAAAAAAAAAAGCAAAAAAAATAAAATCCTTAAAAAGTATGTACTTTATCTTTCTTTTCATGCCTATCTCTCTATTTCCCCGCAAGTCTCTCTCCCTATTTCATCTCACGTGAATCTCTTCTTCCCCCGAAATCCTTCCTAAAAGATTAGTTATACTCTATTCCCCAAAATCTCCCACTTAACAATACGTACCAAAAATCCTCCCTCCTCCTGCTTACCTTTATTCTTATCATAGCTCTCTTCCTATTTCTAATTAAAAATAAAATATATAAATAAACTTCAATTTTTATATTGTAAAGTACCCTCATGTGGTTAAAGTGGTCACGATTTTAGAAATTGCCCATTGAGAAAACTTGGAGATGGAGAAGAAGGTTCATTTGTAAAACTTCCAAGTAGGCAAAAAACTTCAAAAAATAAAACAAAAAAAAAAATCTTGAACTTTTTTTTACCATGTTGGATCTTCAACTATAACTCTTGCAATATCTTTTAGAAGGGCCACTGTCTTTGTGGTTGTATGCCATGAGGGTATTTTTTGGGACTATATGGGTGTGTTTTGTTGAAGAAGATGTCGATTTGTATTTTTTGGATCATAAACATGTTCTAATGAAAATTTTATTTTGATGCTCCTTTGACAACCCTCTCTCTCTCAGTCTTTCTCGCACACACTCTCTCTCTCCAACTAAATTAAAAAATGTCATGCAATATATTTTGAAACTTTGAAAGAGCATTTTTCAATCCAAAAAACATTACATTCCATTCATAATATCCAAAGGGGATATTTCAAGCAGTTTTATATTTGTCATTTTCAACTATTTAAATCTACCAATAACCGGATTTTAAATCGAATTTTGAAGACATAGAAGCCTCAACCAATCTATCAAGCAAATCTTTCTTGTTGGGAATTGGATATCTCATACATTTTAGGGCTTTATTTAGAGGCTTGTAATTAATAAAAAGTCTTGGGGCTCCCCTTTCAATTTCGGAGGCTTTTTCAACATAAAAGCCGAACAACTCTAAAGAGAAGAACTTTTCCGAATAAGCTTTTTATTAAGAAAATCCTGAATTTTAATTTTGCAAATTTCTAAAGGCCTACTATTCAATTGAATAGGCCTAGCCTCAGTAGGAATATTACGCTCATTAAAATTAGGCTCATAAGGGAGTTCAGCAATATGTTGTTTCCTGTTCCAAAAATAATTTGGAATTTCTGCACAGACTTCTTTTTTAAGAGTGGTTCTAAAAATATCGATATCCTTTTGAAGTTTTGGAGCAAACATTTTTTCTTCATCTGTTTTGTCTTTAATTTCTTCTTTTAAAGAGAATAATTTTTTTTCTTTTGTAGATATTATATCTTTTATGTTATTTATCTCATAAACCATTGGTTTCTCAATAAAGCCAAATTTAGTTTGGTGTCCTTCAATTTGAGCTTCAATCCCAGTATTATCAATTTTTATTGGTTATAACATATTTAGGAAAGGAGTTCCCAAAATAACATGTTGGCTTAAACCTTTTACCATAATGAAAGCGAAGTTCAAACATGCTCCATTATTACAGACAGCCGCATATGAAAGTTTATAGTTTATTAACATTTTACTGCCATCAGTAGTATTCAATACTTAGGTAATTTGCTAAAATATTTTGTCAGAATAAGACCTTCATTTATACAATTTAAATCTGCTTCAGAATCAAAGAGAGAAGTGGTTTGAAACTAAATTCCTTTGAACTATAATATTTATTAAAGTAAACCAACGTTGGGTAATAACCTTATCGATAAGGTTTATATTTTGAAAAAAATTATCTGAGTTTTCTATAGGGTATTATAACCCTGTGACTCTTTTTTCAATATGTGGAAGAGTATCTTTGGTATAAGAGTCTGCTGATAATCACCTATTCGGTTTTCAAATTCCCTTTAATTAGACAAGTTTTTCTTTTTCTTTTAAAGAAATAAATTCTAAGGCTTGGACTCTTGATTTAAGAGTTTCAAGTTCGTTATGAACCTCATTAAGTTCATGTTTGAGTTCAGGAATAGAGGGTTCCTGAGTAATCTGATTTTTATCCTATACTCTTTTCAAGATTTCAAAGAAACTATGGTTTTCTCTGGTTGGCACCAAAGAGGGTTTAGGAGAAGCAGGTCTATATTGAATTTTAACAATATTATATATTGGATTAAATCTTCTTTTTTAGCTTCAAGGTCACTGATTTTATCAATTAAATCAATAATTATATTTTCTTCTTTTGTAAGTACGTTTAAACTCAGACCATTCATATCAATAATGGCTTTATAATAATTACAGTGACAGGAATT